GCACGCGTCTGCTTTAGGAAATCATTGAAGTCAAACTTTGCACTCATTATCTTCTTTTGCAACTCTTCAGCATCTTCTTGGCGCATCTAAACAGGTATTGTGATTAAAAACTTCTCTTGATGTGTTTACCGTCAAGGATATGGTATGAAATTCACTAAAAACTTACAACTTCTTGTGCCTTCTCAACAAATGAGAGAACGTCTCCCATCCCTAAGATGCGTCCAGCCATACGATCTGGATAGAAAGGTTCAAGGTCCTCCATGCGCTCTCCACGTCCTACAAGCTTGATTGGCTTCCCTGACACCTGTAGTGTTCAATAATATTGAACAGAAAGCAATTGCCAAATTTGCTACTAAGAAATGTATAATAACTACTATCATAATTTCCAGGTTCTTAAATATGAAATGTCTTTGCCAAGGAAGAGATTCTATCACATAAGCTCTAAGTAAAGAAAATCAATAGCCAAGGTAAGGCAAACCTCTTTAACACTCAAAGCTGCTCCACCTCTAGAATCACCATCTAGCTTTGTCAAAATGGCACCAGTAATCCCTATCTCAACATTGAATGTTGTGACCAAGGCTGTGAATTCACAAAAGGACATGAAGAGAAGAATATCATGCACCTGTCACAGTCGTCATAATAATAGCTAAATTAAGCGGGTAAATAAATGCATAGACATGTATAATTAATCAAATGGGTCCCAAATCAGTAAAATTCGAGGTTACTTATGTATGGATTTGGCCAGCTGCGTCATTCTAAGTAGAACATTTAGCCAATCCATGGCTCCAGTTATGCGTCAATGAGATATATGCTCTACAAATATAAGTACTGAAATGTACATAATGTATTACTCAGGAAGAAAGTTTATCCAGTACTCTGTGTATAATATATAATAGAAAAAAAAGATATATGTGATTCTTAGGAAAAAAAAAAAAACTAATGATATCTATTAATGAATAAATGAAAAAAGGCAGTAGCATATGAAAAGAGAAAGTTGGTAGTCTGAGTACCAGCAGCCTCTTGGCCAGTCATTGCATCCACAACCAGCAAAACTTCAGTGGGATTCAATACTTTCTTCACTTCTTTCAACTCATCCATCATTGCTTTATCTATCTGTTCAATACAAGAAAATAGTTTACAGGGAAGATTAACCGAAGGATGTTGCATCATTTAAGAATCATTAAAATTTCATAACAGATGCTTGTAACTATAATATTACCTGGAGCCTTCCTGCAGTATCCATTATCACTACATCTGTCTTCTTCTTTTTGGCCTCTTCTAAACCTTGCTTCGCAATTTCGGATGGTTTAACCTCAGTCCCTGCAGTATAAACAGGAACGCCCACCTGTCACAAGCTATAACAGAGTATGAGAAATAATAACTTTTGGGAGAAGTCAAAAGAGAAACAACCTAATGATGGGTAAATATAATTGTCATAACCAATCAACAAGTTTCTCAATTCATGAATTAAACTGGAAATATGGTCACAAGTCAAAAGCAACAAGGGAAAATACAAAAACCAATGGACAAAGTTTTCATTGTTAACTTGCCTGAAACTAAAAATAATTCCATTTAAATTGAAATTCATTCAGAAAATTTTTTTAACAAGACACTGTTTTTGCTAGAAAGCTTCTATGATAGCTATTTATGCTTCATTTGTTCAGTCTTAGTGAATAATAATTGGTAATGCGAGCAAACAAATGAAGAAGTGAGTCATTATTGCTCCAGCATCAATTGCCATCAGTCAAATATCTTGTTCATTATAACAGAACTAGGACAGATTATTCACACCAAGAAGACAAGAAAGTTTAGTGTGCATTACTCCATCTTGGCAGTAAGAGTGTAAAATTCCATGCTTTCACCTCAAAGGGTTAGCACCTCTAGCAGGTTAAAACGCCACTCTAGAGATAACTCCGAATGCATATTTAACTTGACAGTCAAAATCTTCTTTGAAATCCAATAAAACAAAAAATGAATTTGAAAGAAATATGGATAACTGAAATCATATAAAACTAAAGTAAGGAACAAGATATGTTTATTGACAATGAAAATCGTAATCATACCTGTTCACCCAAAATAACAAGTTGATCGATAGCAGCAGGTCTGTATACATCTCCTGCAATAAGCATGCAAGTCTTACCCTGCACTCAACAATATGCTCCAACGTCAATTGAGGCTTGAGGAAAAAGTTAAACTAGTCTATATGCAATAATACAAATGGAACCTGTTTCTTAAGATAATTAGCTAACTTCGCACAAACAGATGTCTTTCCAACTCCTTGCAGACCAGCCAATAATATAACAGTGGGGCCAGATTTTGAAAAGACCAGCTCAGAAACCTCTCCTCCCATCAATTTCACCAGCTCATCATGTACAATCTGCAACCAAAAGGAAACTTAAGTGATTCACATAAATCAACCATCAGAGACTACTAAGATCGTTCTCGACTTTCTAGCATGAATGAGGAAATAAGGAGACAATAATGTACCAAATAAAGGCAATAAGAGTGAATGCAAGATCCTGCTACTAAAGTACGTCAACCAGGCATGACAAAGGAATCCATATAGAAAAGCTTTCTTAGAGGCATCGTTAGCAAAGTGCATTTTGTTGATAGAATTTCACACCTTAACCAGTTGTTGATCCGGCTTTACTCCTCGAATGAGGCCAACTCCAACAGCCTGGTCACTTACAGCTTGGACAAACCTTCTAACAACAGGAAGACTCACCTGTCAACACACACCAACCTTGTATTAATACATTAATTACCAAGCGAAAATTGAAAATCCCAAGAATTTCCAACAACACTCACTTACATCTGCTTCCAAAAGCGCTCTCCTAATATCACGCATTGGCTCCACAATATTCTCCTTTGTCAAAACCTCTGAAACACAACAAGTTCACCACCCACGCGTTGTTATTCAGAAAAAAATTCAATGTTTCATTTTTAAAAAAGCTTCTTTTTTATGCTTTTACTTAGAAAATCAAAGGATAAGAAGCAAAAATAACAACCAAATGAAAACCAAAATTAAAAAAAATGCATACCTTCTCCTTTAAGCCTGGTCCAAGCAGCTTCGAGGCCACTCGTCAGCTGACCAAACATTTCAGCTCTTACAACACCTCGCATTTCCCTCTTAAAAGTAACCGTCTTAGAATTTACCCAACCCCATATCTCTCTCTACCATCAAATTATTTGAAAAAAAAAATCAAAACTTAAGTATGGAAAGAGCAAAAGGCATTTTCTCGAAAAAGGGTAAAGATTACATTGATTTTCTTTACTTACAGTGAACAAATTCCTGGAAGAAAGGGAAGCAAAATTGCTGGAACCACTAATCCATGAACTGCCAACTTTACTTGAGTTTCTCTCACTGTTACAGAAGCTTCGGTTGGTCGGAAAGGAACCTGAAGTCACCGAGAAATGACGGGAAGAGACGGTCGAAAATTGCATCGCTTCCATTGCTCTCTTTAACTCTTTTTTTTTGCTTCTTTTTGTTTTCTCTCTAGCTCTGGATTTTTTGACTAGATAAAATCCGTTATCGTCGTGTTGGATTCCCTGCTACGCGGGCCACGTTTTTATTTTATGTCCAAGGTTTTCCTCCAATGGAGCAACTACGTGTCCAAAACTCTCAACGCAGCGTTTTATTACTTACTCTTCTTCTCTTGCCCGTTTCTTCCCGCGAAAAACGTACCGGCTTCATCTTCTTTCTCAAACTCCAAAACGGCATCAAGTCGTCGCCGTTTTTGCTTCCTATGACTTCAATTCCATGGAACACTCAGTTAAGAGAGCTTGCAAAGCAATGCCGATGCCTTCAAGTTCTAACTCTCTACCGTCAAATGCTGCGTTGCGGTTCCACCCCAAACGCCTTCTCTTCCCCTTTCGCTCTCAAATCCTCTGCTTCCCTTTCCCTTCCTATCTCCGGCCAGCAACTCCACTTCCACGTCATCAAATCCGGATGCATAGAAATAAAAACGAATTTTTTAAGCTTGGAAACAACAAAAAGAAACCATGAAACGAGAATTTGTAATCAGAATTAAAAGCTTCGAGGATTAAATCTTTGAAATATTCTTAAATATATCTAATAACCTCAAACACATACAAAAATAATATAATTTAAAATTTTAACAAAATTTAAAAATAAATTTAATAAAATAAAAATATATATATTTCATTATTTTATGTCACAAATTACGTCATTTAATTTTTATATAAAATATAATATAAAAACATAAATAATTAATATTTTATACATCACAAATATAGAAATTACCAAATCTGCTCGAGGCTTTTGGTAAGAAATGAAAATGGCGTTAGCATTAATGAAGTGCGAGTGAGCTGGACCAGCTTGGCTCTGCCCCTTATGCGCCTTTCTTTGTGTTATTGGATAGGCTGTTAGCCCAGCTTGTTATTGTGCAAAAAAAAGCAGTATATTATTTTAAGAATTCTTTTTTTTTTGGCATTAAAAAATACACCGAACATGATAAAACAAAAATTAAAAAATATAGTTTTTATTTTAAATATACTTTAAAAGAATATGCATCACTCTTTTAATTTGAATTTAAATTTAAATTTTTTTATGGTGGATGAAATAATTGATCTATTTTTAATTATCTTTTACAATAATAATAATCAACACTTCTATTTTCTTATAGATTCCAAACCACCCTTTTTCTAGTTTTCTTAATTTAATTGTTGGATTTTTTTTTTTTCATTTTTCCTACCAACCCTTAGCCTAATTTGGAAAGAAAAGGATGTTGAGAACAATACTTTTTATGTACAAACAAAATTTCAAAGTAAGATCATTGAAGTGAGCATCGAAAATAGAGGATTTGTGTTTGCATTTGGCAAAATGCGGAGAGAATCCTCCATTGGAGAAAATATTTTATGTTACTATTATTTTCACCTTCCTTCTCAAGCCTTGTCATGCATTAATTCACCATTTTATAAATGCGGGGTTCTTTTTTTCTAGATAATTAAATGTAAAACTACAATTACATGCACAAGGAAAGCAAAAGTCATGTTCAGGTCAGCAACACAAAGGAACTTTGATTGATTAGAAGCTGTAATGATAAGTACCATTAACAATAGAAAATGTTAGAACGAGCTGAGGAAATGTCAGTGTGAAGCAATGACAGGTTAAAGAATTTCTACCCAAAATCACATACATGACACACATTAACTCGTACACAATATTTCCAAAAGAAAAAAGAAATGGAAACACAACATACCAACTTTTACCAGTTGGCTTTTCCCTCCCATGCGGACCTCATCTGACTACAACCTAACATTCAAGGCCATTCACCTCCAAGCTTCAAAAAGCTCTGCTCTCGAATTTATGCGGCTGACAATCCTTGTTCCCTTGCGCTTCTCTACAGGTCCTGCTGCATGACCTATTGACCTTTCATTTGCCTTATTCGATCCCTTCTTTAGACCTGAATGACTTGATTGACCAGTTCTGCTCTTTTTAGACGTCCTTCGGAGGCCACCTTCTTGGAGTCCATTTGCTGAGGAGTTCACTTGAGAAACGACAGTGCAAGGACAGTTATCAACTAGAGAACGATTTCCAGCACAGCCATTCTCAACTGAAGTTAGGAAACTTTGAGAGCTAGTTTCAGTCATCAAATTCTCTTCAGCAGTGTGAGTGGGGCTCTCTATGGCAGGTTCTTGATCAATAAAAGTGTTCTCACCTTCACTTTCGTTTTTAACCTCCTCATTGACATCTTTGCGCAGTTGTGAAGAGCTTTGCTGTCCATTCTTATCAGAAGGCTCCAAGCGAGAAACAGGAGTAGAGTCTATCATAGAATCTTCTCTCTCTTTAAGTGTTCTAATAATAAGTGTCTTCAGAAAATTCATAACCTGGACCGCGTACATCAATGCAGTTAAAGGATCTGACATCTGCAATAAACAGCAGTAGCGGAGGTCATTAAACTAAGAATGGATTAGATAGCAAGAACAAACCTAGAGGATATCAGCTATTGCCACACGCAACCCTAAATAGTTTAATTAAATTAATACTTTGACGGAAAAGAATTACCATCAGAAAAATATACTATCACATTTATGAGGAAGACCTTTAGTGAGCTTCAAGGTGCCCCAAAAGTGGAATGGACTCTTTGTCTTGAAGTTAGATCATATGTTGGAACAGTAAATGATAATAAATTCTGATTTTCCTCATGTTTTGAAAATATAAAAATTCTGCGAGTTTGCACGCAAGGGTATAGGGTATGCATCCATTTGACAACTAGTATCAGAAGATATGCTTAAAACACTTAGCACCTTTAAGGCGAGGAATATGGAGAAAATGTAGTAGAACAACTCAACAAAGCTTTATCAACTACGTCAAATTGGCTCAAGTATCAGTAACCAATAATTGTTCATGAAGTTTGACATGTGCATTTAATACTAATGAAAGATATTTACTCACTTGCGTCATGTTTGGAGCAAACACCATGGCGACATTGCGTGCATTCATCTTGTTCAAATGCTCCAGTTGCACAACATCAGCCATTAAATTTATAGCCCAATCCAGTAGAGCTGCTTCTGTTGGAGGAAGGCGCCTCACAAGCCGAGCACACTCTTCTTCTGACTGGGATTGTATTACCTGCTCTGGAGGAAGGGAGTCCAATACACCACTAGGAAGTTCTCTAAACCAAGCCTGCGGAATTATAAACACATTAACCACATGTAAAATATCAGTTCAACAGGGGAAGTTCTCACCTTACTTGCAGGTATCTTGACAGCATTCTCAGCCCATGAACCAGTCCTTTTGATAGTTCAGTTCATACTCAATATTTTATTTACTTATAATAAAAATTACATTGATAAAATACAAGTAGAGATGCCTATATAGCCAATATATATATGAGAAACATGTTCCTCATAACCAAATAAGACCAGCAGCTATGAAAGAGCAAAGAAAAAACCTTTATAAGACCTGCCAAGCAATGTATATCTATCCCATCTGGTATTACTCCCCTATTTAGCTTTTCCCTGACATACTCCTCCTGCCCATTCTCTGCATTAATTCTGAAAATTCCTTCTGCCTTAAAAAAATAAATATAAGACTTTAGTTATTAAAATTGGACACTTCAAACAATTTTATAGCCATTGTAGAGAAAAGATAGATAGTCACATACCTGGAGGCCTCCTTGGACATACAAATGCCGTTGCATGAGTAGTAGTATTGTTGGCACACTATTCCCTCTAGAGTCAAATGAAAGTTGCATAGATTCTGTCGAAACTCCAAATACATTTGCACTGCACAAGAATGGTATCTTAGTCAATGAAATAAAATTAACACAGGCACCATTGGATAGAATACTGATATAGACTTTGACAACTGTGATCACAAAGCTAGGTGTCACCATTTCTATCTCCATATATTCACTGTATCCATCGTACCAACTATAAAATTGTGCCTGATCTTCAAACTGAGCACCGCAGACTAAACAATGAAATAAGCATAAAAAATAGATATAATTTCAGTAAGGTTTACTCATCATAAACAAAATTAGAAAAGGGTACCCAGAACCCAATTCCTAAGTGCTTCAAATAGAAAATGCCCAGCAGCGAAAAAAGGCATACAATGCAGAAAAAGACTTGAGCTTTTTTGTAGAAGAAATTTGCATAGACAAACTGAATCAAACTGTCTAATTCATTAAGAATTTACTGGGGAAAACCCAACGGTCACCTTCATTACTATGGAATTCTATATAAGAATCAAGGCCTCAAAGAAATTAATCATCGTCCGAAGCCAATAAAATGGATTGATGTTTGCAACAACAGTTTCCTCATAGGTAAGAAAAGGGAAAACACTAAACCTTTTTCTAGTATTCCTTGTGTAAAAAAAACATTTAAAAGTTAAGCAGACTAAATTATATGAATGCGAAACAAAGAATTCAGGAAGAAAATATCTACATTAACCAATATAAACAAACCCCAGAAAATTTTTCATTAATTACTACCCTTTTATTGACAATCAAGAACAAAAAAATCAAGAAAGATTCACATTGTGACAAACCCAGATGAGAACTTCAATGATAATTTTCAAGGGAAAAAAAAAAGAAGAATCTCCTTTGATAAACTTACCTGGCACTTGGGGCTCTCCTGGGGACCTCAGGCTCAAATTCAACCGGCAAACCAAGAAATCCATGGAACCTATCAAAAGTCACATGAGCAACATGTCTAACATTGGTAGGCAACCCAATTTCCATTGAACAAAGCTCTTTTCTTTCAGAAATGCTACACCCAATCAAAGACTTCCTAAAGGCAGCCACCAAAAGTGTTAAGAAAGACAACTGATCCCCTTCCCTGTCCCTTTCTTTCCTCTCTTCCTCTTGCCTACTCTCCTCTTCCTGGTCACTTTCTTGGGCTATTATACTTCCCACAGTGCTTACACCAGAGTTAATAAGGGCATGTGGAGTTGAGGTGGAGCTTGCAGGTGAAGAGAAGTGAGATGGGGACGATTGGAGTACTTCAGTCATTGTGCTTTTTCTTTATTGGGGACAAGAATTTAGACCCAAGAAACTAACTTTTTTTTATGGAAATTTTGGTTTCTTTGGAAGGACTTTTAATGGAATAATGGGATATCAAGATTGGTTGTCCATGTAGAGTTGGATTGAAGGAAAGATTTTGGATGGTAGGAAGTAACTACCATCATTTTTGGGGTTATCTTTTGTTTTTATGTTTAACTTTCTTGGCTGGCGAAGGCTTGAGGATTGAAGAAGCCAAATGTAAAGATAGAAAATTTAGGGGAAGAGAGAGAAGTGGTGGTGGGTGGAGGAGATGAAGAGGCTTAGAGAAGAAAGAGGACAGCCCCCAAAGCCAATTCTATAAGCAAATTGGTGCGCTGCTTCTGTGCAGTGAATTATCCTACTCTTCTTGTTCCAGAGCCAATGAAATGTAGCCATCCAAGCATTCAATGGAATTCTTTTACCAGCTTGACACATGGTTATGTTGGGATTAAAAGGATTTTTCTATGATAATGATATTCATAGTTTTATATTAGTAGTATTAAATATTAATTTTCATTCATAATAGTAACATTTTAGTTCAAAATATAATTCCATTGTATCCCAGCCAATCTTTTGAGAATATATATATATATATGTTTATTTTCGAATTATTATAATGGAAACAAATTTAATGAACATTTTAATTTGATACAAGATTTGGGAATTTGAATATACAAAGGGAGGAAATTTTTTAAGAACAGATGACAGATAATCCCAACATAAAGAAAGGTTGTCTTAAACAGATCCAACTGGTTCTGACAGGTTAAAGACACCCTAGTCCTAGTCTTAAGCCACCTTGTCTTAGTTTAACTCTATCATGTCAGCATCTGGGTCCCACCAGTTTCCAACCAAATTCCCCCCGGTCGGGCTTTCTGGTTTACCATTCAAAGAAGGAAATCGTTGTTTGAGTACTTACGAAGCTGGTGTTTAGAATAGAAATTGAGTGTATAGTTCAACTTCATTGATTAATCATTGCTAGAAGATTTGCTCAATAGCAAGGTCCAACCTACCAAGTTATTACCAGAAGAGGATAAAAAGCAAGGTTTGGTGAGATTTAAAAAAAAACGTTCCAAGTTTGTTAACATTGCTGTTAATGATGGTCTTGCCAAATAACTCATGAATGCATAAAAGAATTAATGGCATGGTAAGATATTGTAAAACTGTTTGCTTTCTCTGCATTATGGTAAAAAACGTTCTCATTAAGAATACGAAGAAGAGAAAAATGGCAAACAGAAAAAGATAAAAGTGTTGCCTAAGTAACCTTAAAATTGCCACCAAACATGTGCGACTTTCCACATGACAATTGGCAATACAAACAAAAAAAAAGATGGATTCTATTGAGGATATGTTGCCTGTTGGGTGGGTGAGCTGTGGATCAGATCATTCATAAACCTTTTATAACTGTCTACCCTTCAAAACAGAGAAATGTTATTATATCCCTTTCATTGATTTTCATTGTGATGAAGCAATCATCAATGCTTAATACTTCAAAAACAGTCGCCTTTCAAAAGTCTGTTGGACTCAGCAACGGGTCCTTGCCTCTTGGTGCCGTTTCAAGGACTCCAGGAACAGCCTGGACAAAAGGAAAAAAGAAAAGTGAAAGTGGGAAGGAGCTGTTGTCCAAGACAACTAGTTGTTGAGCTGCATGCAAAAGAGAAACTTTTAAGGGAAGTTGCCCGTTGTAAACTCTACGGTATATTTTCCCTTTTATACGTTGGGAGATTAAATCCTACTTCGCGGGCATCCCTCATCTGTATACTTCTTCGTGCCCGAGAAAAGTCAGCGTTTGTCCTTTTTGCCTTGTCTAAGCGATCGTTAACCTAAACCCCAATGGGATGAAATTGCAGCATCATGCTTTGTTATAAGAAACGTGCCGCGCTACACTCTAAGATTGAGTTCTGTCATCCAAGGAGAGGAAAACGAAAGGGCTGCTGCCTCTTTGAGTGAAAATATGGGTTTTTTCCTTCCCCTTTTTTTAAATACACCAAGAATATATACAAGCTAAATTGATGTTTGATTCTCTCAATACAATTGCCAAAACCTAACGGCTCAAAACGAATCTGGAGCAACTTTCAAAGGTACCCTCTTATTTCGCTTTTATCGAAGACATCTTTGAAAATAGGAGAAAGCTCATCAATCAAATCACTAACCATACCATGAGCTAAATGGGCATGTTGAGAGAATTAATCCAACTGCATGACTTCCCATTAAGGCAAAACAATAACGACAAGCATATCTGGCTACCCAAGTTTTATACAAGTCATTCGAACTGTTCAAGTTTTCTGCTTACGCCATATTTTAACAGTAAAATAAGTATCACTGTTACCATTCACTACATTAAATTAAACCATCTGGAATTGCATAAAGGAAAACCCATTAAAAGAGAAGGAAAAGAAAGGGCAGAATCCATGTTGATCCATCCTCTTCCCACAAATACTGCATTAGATAACATATCCAATCCCTACGTAGCAGGGTAGCAGCAGTTTTACACAAACAACAGAGAGTGAAAGAGATGCATCAAGTGGTTTTTAAATTTCCAGTAGAAAAACCAGAATCACTGCATTCTGCCTACAGGTTCAAGTGCTTCAACAGTAACAACACTATTTCCTCTTATCACCTGCAGCGGAATGATATCAATTACAATGAGGCTAACAATGTAAGCATATACCTGAATCACAAGTTAAGCACTAAGGAAGGCACTTCAAGAAAAAATATTAGGACACTCACCACCATGCCTATGTCTGTTTTCTCATTGCCATTCACCTCCACAGTGTTGTCAACTACCAGATTCATAAACTGGTCAAACCCACGAAGTGTACCAACAACCATCCGATTTGCATTCAGCTTGACTGCAGTATTTCGTACCAAGAAAATTCACACGAGTAAATTTTGTTCCTTTAAACATATTACAAATCTATAATGAATGTAAATTAACAATCTGCAAGCCCATAAGCCACAAAAAGTAGTTATATGTTATGAATACGTATTACAAGGTTTTACCCCTCTATATTTTTTATTTACATATGCCGGCCTAACAAGTGCAACTTACAAGACCAATTAACACCATTAACAGAAGCATCAAATGACAAATGCCTGACACACTAAAATAAGGCAAGAAGGTATTAGCAAATACCAAAATAACGCACACCTAAATATAGAATCTACTTTAGCTCATGAATTGTTCAATCTTCAATCATGACCCATATAATAGTTTTTTGGAGATGCAATGTTAAAAATATTAACACCCACAAGAATCTAAAAGATTGAAAAACAAGATAAATTTTCTTAAATTTTATTAACCTTAAAAGAGTTCACAATACTGTAAGAACATCCCAAAACAGAGAATTAAGTTTAAATCTCTCCACGTACACAATATAGCATCTAATCCCAGTAGCATTAGACGGTCATTAACTATCATAACCCAGAGACAGACCTTCTAATGGACCCAAAATATGAAATTCCATAGTGCAGGACACCCTAGAGTCTCAACTCAATCTTGCAACAGGCTCACAAACGAGAAAAACAAAATGCAAAGCCCGCACCAACAAAACCCACATTTAAATCTCAATTTAGGATCAGACAAACAACAGAGGAAATTCACTCACTATAACAACTGAACCATTATACTTACATTTAGAATCCTTTCAGCTACAACTCCCCAAACACTCAACTCAACCCCATCAACTTAAAGAGGCGAAACCTTTCAGCTACAACTATTCAAACACTCAACTCACTCAATTCAGCTTAAAGAGTCATCGACCATCATGAATTAGAAACTTAACTAACCGAATTCGGGCTTAATCCAGCTACTACTAGAAACAAGCAACAACAAATGAATAAAAACTAATTTTAATTAAATAGCATAAAATTGAATTAAAGAAAAAATTACTCTGGAGTTTCTTGTCCATGTACCTGTTATAAACAACATCACCAAGAAAAGAAATTAGAAATCGAAGAATCAGAGAAAAGAAAACTTAGAAAAAAGAAAGTACTGAAAAGAGAGTGAATAAGAGCTTTCCCTCGAGAACCAAAAAAAAACGGAAGAGAAAGAGCTTACTTTTTGAGATCTGGAGGCTGGCCCGATCTGCTCATTGTGACAGAAATTTGGTCGACGGCCGAGTGCAAGTGCGAGAGATTGGGAATAGGGTTTTGGGAAGGAAGAAAAGCTTTGATTTTGATTCCGTAGAATCAAAATTAAAAACCCTATAAATTTTGGAGGGCCTGGGCTTTAACAAGAGTCGGTTTCGAGAAACCCACGGATGAAAAATAAAACGAATGTTGAATCCATAGGGTTAATTGGGGTGCTGCGAGAATCGAACTCGCGACCTCTCGCACCCGAAGCGAGAATCATACCACTAGACCAAGCACCCTTTCGTAGTAATTTCTCTCAAAATAATCTAATTTATTTTTTTAAATTTATCATATATTTAAATTTATTTTTATAATCATTTAATAATTTAAAGATGATTAACAAATAAAATCTTTTTTTTCCTGATTTTAATGCTATATTACTCTTTTTATACCCAAAAAAATAATTTACTAGATTTATAATTTATATCACAGTTTTAGCAAACTCAACTCTATAAATGGTTTTAAAAAATAATAAATTAAAAAATATATAGTACGTACTAATAGTCAAATGATAAATTGTTTGATTAATGGTGAATCAGTGATTAAAGTTTTTCTTAAAATTATATAATTTTAAATCGGTGATTGTAATTTTTATATTTATATATTTTTGAATGATTTTTGTCCAAAATTTGATTTAAAAAGGTTCTTTGAGTTGGGTAAAACTACAAAATAAAGAGTACATTCTTAAAATATAAGTTTTTTAATTAATATTTTTTTTTTAATATCAACTTCAAATTATTTAATTAAACGGTTAAGAAATTTTCTTTGGTGGAGAATTATTAATAATTTTTTGTTTGTTTAAATTTTTTCTTGATCACTATATTAACTATCCTTATTACTTTGGAATATTTTATATCTAAACAAAAATGTATAGAAAAGTAAAGGGAAGAAATGAAACCAAAATCGTTTTAAGTAAATTTAACGATTCGTATATTTATATCGTATTTTATATGAAAATTACATATTATAATTTATATTAACACCAAAATAATATATATATATATATATATTTTTTAATTTTGTTAATCTATATATAATTATTATTAAAATTTTGTATCTTATTTTTATAATATATTTTTATTGTATCATTATATTATATTTTAAATAATCATATTTATTTTTAAAGTGAATTATCATTCAAAAATGGTACATTTTTTCTCTGAGATTCATTTTCTCCGTGGCATTGACATTTGAGTATGGTTGAAGCTCTGGAACGTGAAGATATTCCTATTATCATTGTCACCAGCCGGTTGGACACATTCAAACAAGTTGCATAAAAATCTGAGTTCAGAAATATTGTAAGACGAGCTCAAAAACATGAACATAAGTTTGATGTTTACAATATAGCATTAATAAACAATAGCCCCTTTTTTAAAATAGGCAATGAAGAGCATATTCTAGAGAAAAGATAGAAACCATTGAAAACGATGGATGGTTGGGATTGCGTTGGTTGAACAAAATAATAAGTTTTAAATTCAAACAAAGCTTTCATCTTTTCCCTGGATGTGGTCGTACCTTTTATGTACAGAGGGATCATGGCCCATGAAGAACAACCTTAGCCTTTCCGCCTTTAGTCAACTCCATTTGTCATTTAACTGATTTTCCATTTGGAACTGGTCAAGCCCATTCATTGTTCCCCCACTTGCACAAGGCTAAAATCATGTCTTTTTTTAGATGGAAGTATCCGGATTGCCAATTGTCGACCCTCAATGAACCCTTCCCCGTCTTTCTGTTTTTTTTTTTTTTTTTTGTCACTCCAACCCAATCCTTCTTGTCTCTCATTTGACATTTACAGAAAAGAAAATGGCCGGCCCTGCTTTCAGCTTTATTGTAAAGTAGGGCTGATGGTTTGCTCATTGCTCCTTATACGTTTTAGGGGTTAGAAATTAGTAGTAGGTGTATTTGACTTTGTTTGATTTGATTAATTAGCTTAATTCCCACTTCATGGAACCCACCAAACTTAAGACCTTCCACCAACTTTTCTCCTTGTCAATAAAAAATTTATCTATTAAAATTTCTGTTCTTGTTCCCTGTTTTTTAATAGTATATAACTTTTCTTTTGGTTTGTTTTGTTGTTTTTCTATACACTTGTCAACCAACATTTCAATAAGACAAACTGAAATGTTAGAGTTCACTATTGAAGAATATCCCTAACTCCCCATTAAACTTTAGTGCTTTGAGTCAATCATGGAATGGATCACATATACTGCATTATTACTCCACCTTTAAACAAAAGTGAAAAGACAGAAGCGGTTCATTTGTTTTCTTGAAGATTATGCGATTGTTTTGTTGATAATCAAAGAACCATTACAATGACTAGTGGTTGGCATTTGATTAAAATACAGAAATGATTCTTCAACAGTTGATTAGTTAACACTCTTTAAAGGGTTAGTTATTCCATCAATATTAATGGATTTTATGCAACTTTAGCTCTTTTACCACCGTGTAAGATGGAAAACCATACTATTTTTTTGTGATTCTCAGCCACCCAACAATGTTTTACCAACAAATGTGGTGCATAATGTCATACCAATCAAAACTCGAAGTCGGTGCACCTCATCATTGATCTCTAAATGTTTTGAAGTCTAAAGTTGGATTCTTAGTTCCTGTTTAACGATTGATAAGTCAAAGTAAATGTTCAGTCAATTTTTACAAGTTAGAAACGATGTTCACAAATTCCCAATTATTGACAAAGTCAAAAGATGATCAATTCCTAGACATTCCCTCTCTAGCCACAATACAAACTCTTCCCCCACCCACTAAGCGACAGACATGAGACCACCTTTTCTTCTAGCCCCCCACTTCTTTATATCCCCTAATTGCTCTCTTTCTCATTCAGGTTTCAAACGCAAGATAAAAAAATGTTGGGAAAAAAGATGGGTTCCTTGAAGAAGATAGCCAAGAAGGTGAAAGGCATGGGTGGAGGTGATCAAGAGCAATCACAATATGAATGCTTGCTAAGAGAATTTGAGCAAATGTCTCCTACAGCCTCAACCCCATCTGGGTTTTTTGCTATTTATGTAGGAGAGGAGGAAGAGAGATTTGTGGTGCCAACCAGCTTCCTGTCTCATCCACTCTTTAAGATGTTGCTGGAGAAGTCATACAATGAATTTGGTTTTGAGCAAAGAAATAAGCTAGTTGTTCCATGCAGTGTCTCTACGTTTCAAGAAGTTGTGAATGCTGTAGAATGTTGTAATAGGAAGTTTGATTTTGGAAAACTAGTTGAGGAGTTTCTTTAGAAAAAAAAAAATGTAGCTTCTTAGTTTCAGGAACTAGGGAATCTTAACCTATGCTTTGAGTTTATAGTTCCATGAATTCACTGGACTTGTAGCTCTCCTGTATCATACATATCCAGCTCTGTCTGCAGTGCTGATTTTGGTTATGTTAATCACTTTGCTAGGTAAATTGACTGAATCAAGTTCAAAAGAAACTGAGGTGAATTGATTCCTAAGTTCTGGTTTTTCTTATTCTTGTAAATATTGGCAGCAAGAATTCGGGATGTGTTCATAATTAGCCAAAAGCGAATTAGTTAGATTACCAGTAGAAATCATTTTCCGATGGGGCAAAAAGGGAAGAATGTGGTCATAATTAGCTTTGTTCTTTTTTCCAGCCTCTTTGTTTTCAATAGATCCCACTTCCTACTTTCTCTGCTTCTTCCTCTCTCTTTCTTCCATTTCTACAAATCAGAAACAGGTAATTTGGAAATTCAAATTAATAGTTTAACTCTGATAGCCTTTTTTAATTCACATTTCAAACTTTGGTATTTAGGAGCTTGCGCACATTTGCTGCATTTAACTTCTGGAATAGAATACAAACTACTTTCTCCTCCCAATCTTTTCTTTTGGCTCTGAAGGTAACATTTTGGTTCAAGGAACAACCAACCACATCAAGAAATCTGCAGCAGAGTTGCAGAACATTCTGTTGAAAATTATTTGAGATTTAAAATATTACAATATTAACTATTTTCTTAGGGTTTTTTTTTTCTTCTTTGACTAACTGATGTCAACTTTTGTGCAATAAATTGAAAGTCCACGGACGTGCTACAAGGGCTATGAGCCAGAGCCAGATGAAAAAAAAAAAATTTTAAAAAGGTTTACAATCTTGATAAACTTTTCATTATTTGGGGGCCTAAAACTGAAGCTGAAAATTATGAAATCGGTTGCTGAATTATCTGTCCTTCGTTTTTCAGTATGCTTCTTCAGGAAGGTGACCAAAGCCCATCAAATGGAGGATAAATGGTCAGGCAAGTTAACTATCAGCAACATGGTTCTAAGATAGAAAAAACCTGCTAGGCATATGTAAGTTGTAACATTTCATGGGATTTGGGCATATAAACTGGACTTGGGTTGTCAGTGGATGCAATAAGTTAAATTAAAGCGTGCATGGGTATAGCCTGAACACATATTGGGTAAGTGTAACTTAAGAGCCCAAAATCTGAGAAGTCAATCTGATAGAAGAGAAGCTATAACTTGATTCTAAAATCTCTACTTAAACCTGATTTTCTCATACTACCTGTTCAGTTTTTCAATTTATTTGGTTTGGTTGGGATTCCAAATGATAACCTAACCAAACCTACCCTACCCGAACATACTTTGTTTCAGCAATAACTGGGTACTGCTTGTCATTTTCTTCTTTTAGTCTAAGATTGTTAAGAACCTGTATTGTAGAAATCAGAGAATTGACACTTTACAACCTCATTCATTTCTCATATATGATGGCAAACTAGCACAGAAATTGTTCATGAGCACAATATTCACCGCATGAAAAATCTAGCTATTATTCTCTACATTGATACTACCATCTGGAAGAATTCTTTTCATTCAGTCGATCAGCTCTTGCATTTGTTCTCTTGAATGCAGTGGCGCTGGATACACGCATGCATAATCCAAATATCCATCTCGTATAGTGTCAAATATGGCAAAGGTTGGACCAACACCGTGAACCGAAGAGCACACCACGTAACCCACCAGGCCAAGTTCCCCGTACAGTTTGTTGGATTCATCTTCGAAAACCGATATGATCAAGGCAGCCCTCACAGATGACGATGCAGTCAATCCAAGGTTGTCAATGGCTTTATACATGAGGAAGTTTAGGTCACTCGTATCCGTGAAATGCCAGCTTGTTGTGTTGTTCTTGGCGTTGTAAAAGGACGTGTAGCATCCCTTTGCTAAATCCTATAGTTCTTCATATGCAGTTTTATCATGTCATGTCATGTCATGTGATTGCTACCGAGCACTCGTTCAAGAATGGACCGACAGTGAACGAGGGTTACAAGTTACAACAGCATATTTTTCCTTTTCTGGTCAGGAAAGGCTTCAGTGGACCGAACTGCAAGCGGCTACCAGGGCTCCACAGAGTTTAATGCCTCTTGATTTGCAACCCCGTAAATTGTGAATAATATAACTTTAAGACAATTTTAATCACATAAATCATGATTTTATCAAACCAAAGACTAATCTTAGACACAAGTCAGACAAAAAGGGTACCAGAAGATCAACAATGAAATAATATCAGTGATTTGTTGATGAATTATTGCAAGCAGTAAATTAAGTTCATGTGTAAAACTGCCATGCAGATCAAAATATCAGAGCCCAATAGAACTTCCTGCAAAAATCAGAAGATGAACATGCAATGGAACGGAAGATCCCCCACAACTTGGCCTAAAATCCCATTCATTCTTATTTAATGCTAGTTGTTTCATATGGTGATTGTGAAATGTGATAATGGGCCGGCATTTTCGACGATATCTTTAACTGGTTTTAAAACCAGTCACTTTCACAAATCACAACCAGAAAATGTACATCGTATCCTTACTATCAGCCCCAAAGCTCTCTGTCCTTATACCGACTCCACTCACAATAGTGATAGCATCGCCTGAATCTGATCCTGGAGAATTATCCTGGGTGACTAGGCCTACCACTTGTACAAAATATCACTGGAATCATTGAAAGCTGAAACTAGTCTTCTGGGCCTTCCCATAAAGAACTTGAAAACGAGAGTTACTGAAATCCTCTACTCCTAGATGTTTATTCTCTGTGCTGGCGGCAAAGATTAATGAACTTTATATCAGAGCAAAAACTTGGAATGAATTAATGCCACGAAACTTAATTTTACAAAAAATGTTTTAATTTAAAATTAAAAAATATTATAAATATTAAAATTTAGATATCAAATTTACATATTTTGACTTTAATTTATAATACTTAAAACAAAAAAAAATTTGGACTACGATTTCTTTCGCGTTACTATAAGAAAAGGGACATCTGTAATTTATTTCTTTGATTGATGTCCAAAATTTTAGCTTTAATTCCACCATTATTATGTTGAAAAGGAATAGGACTAGTACGTTTTTTTCATTACCATTCGCAATATTCACCCTATTATGTATTATCCATGTAAGTACAAAGAAACAATAGAGTAGGTACCACTTTTAAGGATTTTTGAGCTACCTCGAAGCGAGGAAGAAGAGATAGGAAATCTCATATTTTGGATATGGTTTGGAATGAAGTGTTTTATAAGGTAATGGTAGTCAAACAACCTATCATTACGAATATTAAATTTATTTAAAGTAAGGTTTTTTTTTTTTATTTAAAGAGAAAGTGATAAAGGATATTAGCGATTGTGTTATAATTTAATTTAATATTAATATCAAATTTGTTATCGTGGGAAAATATAGTTTTTTTTTTAAATTAAGATCAAATTTGCTAGTGTTCTAATTTAATATTGAATTTTATTACTATAACTATGGAAATTATGATTGTATGTATTATTACCCTTCAAATGAAATGTTATTAATAATATTAAAAAATTTTATTAAAAATTATTATTTTTCGTTTCATTGTTGAAAAAAAAACTCCTCTACAGTAAAAGTCAAAATTCAGTCCTTATCACGTAATCTATTGTTAAAGTATTGAATTTTTTTATTATTTTTTTGAATTTATTATAATAAAATATTACATTCATATAATCAACTGAATAATTAATTATTTATCATAATAAATTATAATAATTAAATAATTAATTTAAAAATTAAAATATAACTAAACAATCAAATTTACAAATAGTAAAATTTGAAGCCAGGACCTCAATGTTTTAAAGTTTCTTCTTTATCATAAAATCAAAATAAAATATTAAATTTTTAAAATTTTTAATGTTCGAGTTCAAATTTTGATAAATTTAAATAAAAATTTTTTTTAATGAGCCTTGGTGATTTCAATGGGTCTTAAATTTGAATGCATACATACGGTGAATAACAAAAAAAAAAAAAAGCCCCTCCTATCTTTAATTACTATTAATTGTAATTGATATGAAGTTATTAAGAAGAGTAGCAGAACATTGGAAATAGAACAACAACAACCTCAATTAAGAAACCAACCTGCCCATTTTCTAGCTTGGGCTTTAAAGAAACCTATAGAGATTGGGTGACACCATTTATGAGCCTATAGTCTATAGCTCAAAGGTGTCACCGAAAGGACACCTGACCTGAGCCTCTAGCTCTCATTTTCATTACCATTCTTTCCAGCATCCACAAGAATGCACTTCATAGAATCAACCAGCTCCAGCATTTGCTCCCTCGAATGCAATGGTGAAGGATAAACGCAAATGCAATCCAGCCGACCGTCTCGTATACTGTCAAAAATCGCGATGGATGGGGCGATGCCATGAGCAGAAGCACAGCCCATGTAGTCCTCTAGGCCAACTTGTTTTTGCTGGTCATTAGATTCATCAATCACAGTATCCTCAAACACTGATATTAAAGATGTTCTCAAGGATGATGATGATGTCAAGCCAGGGTTTTCCATGGCCATGCACATCAAGAAATTCAGGTCTGCCATGTCCGACAAGTGCCTGTTGCAGTTCTTATAGTTTGTAAATGCCGTGTACGTTTTCTTTGCTAGCTCCCAAAACTTCTCTCCTCCTTTAATGACATGCGTGTTCAGAATAGCTGAGTGGTAAAATCCTACGAAATTTGTCAAGAAAATCGCTTACCTTAATTGGCATGAAATTTAAGACATGCAACTTTGGTTCCGTGTTAGGTCTTTTTCTTGTACTAAAAAAGTTGAACCATTGAAGACAGCAGCAGCATTTCCTTACTACTGGTGTTTCTATCAATTAACCACCCTTACTGGTTTTCTATCAAACAAATAGGGAAAAAAAAAATGGTCCTTGGTAGGGTCAGCTATGAATTGTCATCTGATCGGTTCTCCAGAAATATACTAAGTCCAACCTCCATCATAAATGTCTATTTCAGGACCAAATTAATGATTAATGATAAGCAGGCAATTGAGATCTTATTCCAAGTCTAATAGCATATGATAGTATTACCGATCGCATTAAATTTTGATTTTGATAACTTAAAAGTCATTTCAAATAGAATCCATTGGTGCTTAAAGGGAGTTTTTCAAGATTTTTATTTGGCAATGCAATATTATAACGTGCTTACCAAAATTGTGATTGGAGAGAGGAGGTTCAAGAATTGAGCGGCAATCGGTGAGGGTTACAATTCCATATTTCTTCTTTTGATGATCTGAACGGCATTTAGAACTGTGTGCAGCAATCAGCCCCGCAGCTCCTAATGCTCCACACAACTTGATCCCTCTTGCCTTGCAACCCTGAAAAGTTCAATTTGAGTCTCACAAGGCAAAAGTAGAAATTTTCGGAGTTTAAATTTGCATGCTTCAAATCACTTACAGCTAATATCCTCTCAGTGTCATCAGTGCTGATCATCAACCTTACTACTTGAGTAGATCTGGGAGATTTTGCATCTTTGAACTTCAAATTTGTCAGCCTTAAAGAATTAACAGAGTAGCCTAGCATGTCTACACCCCTTGCCCAGACAGTTTTCTTAGCCTTCCCCTTGGGAATAAGATCTTCAATCGCCAAACTAATCTCTCCTTTGTCCATCATAATTTCCCTTTGACCCTGCTGTGACCCTGTCTCCTCTTCTTC